TAACCACTTCCGATGAGGGCAATTTTGTTAAGGAAGTATTTACAAACAGTAGTAAAATAGTGAGATGAAACATGTTATCATACCTAAGAAACCATTTCTTTCAATAGATCGAATAAAATAGTCCACCGTTATTTGTTGCAATTAAACGCGTTACAGTATTAAAGAAATTAGCGGAATAATATGAAAGCTTTGAATGAAAAACCCATATATTTTTGGGGTAATTACGTGTCTATTTCTACCAAAACACTATTACTTGATCCAAACGAGCATTATTCAAAGAAATCACATTTTTAATCAAAGAAATATTTTTTTGTCAACGAAACTGTTAGGTCGTCCGGAAAGTTATCTTGAGACATATAAGGAAAAACAGTATCATTTTAAATAAAACTGTCAAATCTCAAGTATCAAGAACCGGGATAATTTTCTGGACAACCTAATACCTAATGCGGAAAGTGCCTATCATACATTTGACCGAAGCATCCGTCCCTTATCGTTCAATATCGGTCCTGCGGTTCTCGAGCCACGTGTATACTTTAGAAACTGTGTGAGAATCGAGTACCAAATAACAGCAGCCCGGGCGTCTGCGATGGTTTCCAAGGAGTACGTAAAAGTTCCATAAAGTCCGCATGTCGACCTCGTCCTCGAGATTCGACGGTGTCGCAGCCTCTCGGCACGCGTTGAGGAATTTTCAGATTCAAGGAGCTTTCCGTCTACGTGACCGCGGCCCGGCACTTTTCCCGCCCTACGTGACGGGCGAATTTCCCTTGGCTATAGCTCGGGATTTTGGGCTACATCTCCCGAAGGACCGAGTCGCGTCCTCGGGCCATTCGTCCCGCGTCCGACTAACCACGAGAGACTTTTCATCCGCTGCTAGATTTCCTGCCTGACCACAAATTCCTTTTCCGGAATTCTCATCCGAGCCCAGCGTTTCGAACTCCGCGGGCCGAATCCCCCTCGTTAATCCTAATTCCTACACCGATTATCCTCCCGGCGGTCACACATTCCTCCTCGGAAGCTTCCTCTTAACCTTAAAATCCTTACCCTACTTCCCGAGGGCTCCTTCCCAATACCCACTCGAGTCCTTCCGCTTACTCTTTCCGCCCTAACGATCCTATTTTCTTCCCTTTATGGCCAATTTAGAAACGCGATTTCCAAAGCTCGTCCTAGCGACAATCTTGCACGTGTCCGTATCGCATAGGTAGTCTTAAGTTCAGTTTTTGCCAGTGAACCCCGAGCGAAAAAAATCACTTTTCATAAAAAGTAAAGGAACATTTCTGTAACAGTTTTTTAACTGCTGTTATCGATAAGATAAGTTGCAGGATCTATTGAACGAAGCCTATACAGACGTGAAACGAAATTCAATTTTCTTGGGTTTAGCTTTGTCGAGCTTTCATTTTTCGTTCTGGAATGAAAAATTGATTCGCTTTCAAAAGCGGAGTAATTAATAATATCTTTGTGCCAAAATAGATTGTTCATATATTTATAGTAAATCTGACGTTTCGTCTTAAAACTCAATTATGTCCTGGTGAATGCTGCTTACGTCGATATGGAACAATATTTATCTGCCATTAATAGTTCCTTGCATTAAATGTTCAGCCGTTTAAGTTAAATACAATTTTTTATCCAAAAAACGTTACAACTTCCAATAATATTTTCAATACCTGAAGCTAACCTTGTACATGACATTTTGTTTCGCAAAATTATTTCCACTTGATGCAAAATTCTCATATCATTTGACTTGCAACGTCGATGACTTTCATCGGAAGTTTGATTCTGACATTTTATCGGAAATTGCTTAAACTATGTATTCAAAATTTACTAAAAACTTGTACTCGTATTATGAATTTAGTATGCCGTATCTGAATAAAACTCCAATACCAGATTTATTTATTTACTTTTTTTTTTCTACGGTTTTTACCAGCTTTTAGTATTACAGCGTTTTTAACAGGATACATCCCGAGGAAATAATTGAAGGGTAAAGTATTAGATCATTGCACAGTTTAAGAACATGGAACGGTAATTGCTTTTGTAGTACGAGCGAGATCGTTGATTGATTAACGTTTGTTGGAATTAGTCGGTAAATGGACCGCCCCGATATTAATTGATGGCAAGGTCGTTACCGCCGTGCGTTACAAATATCGGTCGCATTATTGCGACAGTTATTGCACGCTCGTGTTTATCAGGCTCACAGAGATTAGCGGAGTTAAGTCGTTTGCGCTCAATTAATTTTCAAAGTTAGTAAACGTTACGCTGGAGTTTGGCCAACCGGAAGACGACTCAACCGAAATTTCATGGCGCTATTCCCGGGGAAGCGCTTCATACCCGTTATTTCAGGGTTCCACCTTCGTTGATGTTCTTTTCGGAGTGATACGTTTACTACTTTTAATGCGTTTAACGACTCACTGTAAAATTCTACGGCCAACGGGGAGAACCGCAGCGTATATTCGTTAACCGCAGGTTTCTTATTAATGCAAATAGGAGTGTTGTGTTTCGCCTTTACGAGCGTTCATTCCACCCAAGAAGAAAGTTAACGAGATATATGCTACGTAAAAACGTGCACACGTCAAAAGTGTATTACGAAGGTATACACAGCAGAGCCTGTTAAAACAGAAAAAAAAAAATCTACCTCATTCAGCGCTTCATTTATTTCCATCATGATGGTACAAAATGAATGGCGGTTTCATAGGAACTTTCCATCCTAATCAGCTCGTCTAATTTTAAAGGATATTTAATTGTGCGTATATCAAGTACCCTGTAGATGTATTTAGATCATTTATAATACTATACAATATTGATCACGGCATTTCTTTTCTACCAAGAGTGAAAAAGGAAATTTAGTAAGTTAGTAGACCCAGCAAGGATCGACATGAGATTTAGACAGAACATCATCAAGGGTATGATCCTTGAAAAGGTACTCTGCACATTTAAACAAACATTGCAGAGCATCGTTTCATTTCGGAAAAGATGATGGATTCACTTCTTATATATAAAAAAAAGAAGTTAACACATCAGTAGACAAAAACGCAGTTTTGTTTGGATAGAATGTATCCCAGCGTCGACCCAGTTGGAGCAATGGAGGTTTTACCGATTGAGATTGAGCGGACCTTTAAAATAGGTTCCTATCGAAAATCGATACCAAGTGAAGGAAACAATCTGAATTCTTTCGCAGGAAGGAATTCGTGACTGAGAAGCAATCGTCAGCGTGAAAATGAGAAGCTGATATGATACGATTACTCTCCGACTTTTCCTTCAATTTCCTGGACAAATCCCTTGCTTAGGTACCTTCTACGACAGTTTTAATCTACACTCGATAGAACGTGGTATCGAGTAGAGAAAACTATATTGAACGTCAACTTCATTTAAATACTTTATTTTAAATGAATAATTTCCCGGCTCTAATGATCTTTATCACATCTTTTGTTCCGCCCTGCACAATTCCCCCATAAACAAGAAAATACTAAATCCTTAGCAAACGTTTGATAGTGAATTATTACAGATTATTGGATAGGGTTTACAATTGTTACCGATTATGGGGTAGAGTTAGGATTGCCCTTGTGTTTGTGTGGTGGTGGCCGTATAGAAATCGCATCGGAAGTACTAATGGCGTAATTTTAGCCATTGGATAATGTGGTCAAATCGTCGAATACTAGGTAACGAGGCAATACTAAAGACACTGTTTTGCGGTCTGGGAGCATATTGAACGGAGCAAATTGCTACCGTCCGCTAATAGCTACCCTATTGCAGAACCACATTTTACACATCGATCGTTTGTAGGTCACGAGTTAGTGTTATTGGCAAACATAGGTTTATATCTAGTGAAGTGCAAGGATATGTGCCGCCATTGACATTTATTACGGTCGCAGAGTATGAAAAATGGTTAATAAGGTGTGAAACGATATAACTGGAAGGTAGGCAGCAATACATGATCAAAACAGCACATATATTGATGGAAATGATCACCTTCTCGTCATGTACCCATGACACTTCCTCTGCAGAAAAATTATTCATGACCACTCGGATACACGCGGTCACCAATGATGACAGCGTTATTTTAAGAATTGTTCTTTACTGACGTAAATGTGGAATTCCTAAAAGTATCGACGTTGAATAATTTGCAACCCATGCAAATAATAAATAATATTGTTTCAGCCATACGATCATATAAATAAGTTTGGAAACTCATATGGTGGAGAACAATCGGCGTTTAATGACGATTTTCGTGTAACTTTTGGCTACCAGATGACTACGATAAGGTAAAGCACGGTAAAACAAAGATAGAAACATTGCGTCGTTCTTTGATTTTTATGCACTCATATGCAGATGATGCTTTAAAGTTATGTTTGTTAATGCATTCCCTATTGTAGCACCGAATGGAATCTTTAGAGAACAGGGATAGTTTGAAAAAGTGATCGTCATTCACCCATGGACGTGGGATATATGGAACTCCCCCATTGATCTGGCTATGAAGATAGCAGGACTGAAAGAGAAAGAGGAAGAGAGACAAAGGGTCTATTTTCTCGCTTTTCCTCTTTTTTTTTTCTTTTTACATGAAACTGTTGCGCAGCATAACATAGTGATGGCCTAACGGCAAAAGAGAAAGATGGAGGAAGAATATTCTCTCTGTTCACTTTTTTTCCATGTCATTCCCTTCGTGAGAATATCAAGGGAATGATTAAATCTATAAATTCCGTGCATCCTACTTCCATGATTATACTGCAACTGTAATCGTATACTTTAAGGAACGCTTGGTTTTTTTTTTGAAAACGATTTTCGATGACTTTCAACCCTTATGTCAACCCTTGTGTCAAAGGCCAAACGAGGCCCAAGAAGAAACTTACGGTGGTGCATTTTCAATCTTCGGGAAATATGAATAATTCCCAGAGAAAGGCGTAAAAGGGAACCCAGGTTGATATCGACATAAATCTTACTCTAGAATATCGAAGATTACAGCGAACAGCCAGCCACAAAATCGCGGAAAATCCCAGTGACGAGAAACTAACCTGTTTGAAGCCGCGGTACATGACGCGGATTTCTTGCCTGGAGAACTTGGTCTGCCTCAGGAGCTCCTCGAGGGCCACCGGCCTGGTGGTCTGTGTGCGCGCCCTCGAGCTCTCGAAGTCGAAGAGCGCCTCTTCCGGGCCCGGCGAGTCGGGCGGCGTCGCCATGGCTCACGAGGCTCTCGGCCGAGATTCAAATCGGGACCGCTTTCCCGCGCATTCTTCCGACCGGCGCCGGAAGGACGACGCGCGCGAGACGACTTCCCCCGAACCAAACTTCTACCGGAAATCGATGCCCGTTCACATCGGCGGCTCGCGCACGTTCTTCCGATCCGAAAACACGAGTTCGCGGTGTAAACCACCGTCGAAGCGTCGCGTAGACTTTTCCTCCGCTAGACTTTTTCCGCCACTTTGCGAAAGCCCGCCATGTTTACGACTGCGCCGCCTCCGGTGGTACGAATATTTCAGGAGCCTCGGGAATCGACGAGGTTTGTTTACTAGCCGCGGAATTTTACGATCGGGAATTCGTCCGCATTGGCCGTGACCTGTAAACATTAATTTCATCGGTTCCTTTAGGTGCAAGGGGACGCCAAACGCTTTCGATGCGGATGTCGGACACGAGGGAGAAATGGGGATATTTCGAGCACCGTGACGTCGGAGTTTGGAGTAAAGCATGATTTTATTAGGTTGTCCCGAAAGTTTTGTCATTTTTCTAGGTGGACTCTGAAGTTTCGCCGCGAACAGGGTACTGGAAGTTAGTAATGTAATTGTAGGTTAGTAATCGGTAATCAGGATGTCAGTCTGTAACGTAAGTCGGTAAAACTGCTAACAAAGTCGCCGGGAAACGACGGAAATTACGGAACTAATTAATAGCGATTAAGTGAAACGAGTAATGTCATACGAATGAAACTATCGTGGTAAATAAATAGCTTTAACCTTAAATAAGACAAATTTAACCCTTTCGGTGCTAGAAGCACTTGTTAAACGAGTCCCCTCATTTAATAGGCTAGATTTATGCATGTTCGTGAAATTAACCCATACGTTAAAGGAGCTTGATACCAAAAAAGTTAAAAAGTAGGTAAGAGTCGGTTTGGGTGAAAATGCAATAGTATAGTTGAATGAAAGTAAAATATTTTGAAGGAATGTGTTTATGGCGAAGCTATTTTTTAAATTTAGGACACAGACGACTCTACTGACATGGAAATGTATTTTAATTAAATATAAATTAAGAGACTGCCAAATATATTTAAAAACATCACTTTAGCTGTAATTAGTATAGTCTAAATTCTTAATTAGGTGCATAGGATTTTGCCAAATTCACGATGGATAATAGAATTAAGTAAAAGTGTACAATTTATAAAACGTATACGAACTTTGAAAGTAAAAGGAAACGCGCCTCGGATATACTTCTAAACTTCAAATGATATTCATTGCTACTATTCCTTCCGCTTGGTAGATAAATGGCCGAAACATTCATAATTAAATATATTCCAAATCCCAGGGTAAATTTTTTAGTGACCTTCATTTCACTAAAAATAAATTTCTTCGTTGCTTTGATGATACGCACAATGTTCCAACGTATCGATTTACACTACGGAAACCATTTCAAAGGGAGCCATATAGTTTAAATATTTACCCTGCTACGTTTGTTGCACCTAACGATATTTTTAGAGCCTTACTTAAGATTGAAATCTTAAGAAGATTTGAAAGCCATTTCGCTTCAAATTGAATTTAAACAAAAATCTAAAAAAAAGTATCATTGATTTATTTATATTTTGACGATAAACTGCATTTTCGTTCAGTCCATTCATACAGAGAAATGTGTACTTTGAATCATAAAATTACGCATATGATTATACAATATGTAATGTTTATATCAATACTTAACCCTTATCACTCCAGGAATATTAGAAGGGTATTAGAAGTTTGCAGCATTACTGCCGGTTGGAGCGATAAGGGCTAATATCACGAGAAAATATTTATGAGAACTTGCAAGTCCCTCTGTGTAATTATTGTTTTCATCCTGTTCGCAATATTAAAATCAACCTAGAGGAATGTCAACAGCGTTTTCAAAAACTTTACTTACGCTTTTAATGCTGAATATTTCATTCGGTCTTGATTGAGCTCTTAATGAGATTGGGACTCGAGTGCACGCGGGCGTAGTAAAAGTCACTTTATTACTCTTATTGCCACTTACAAGCCACGAGGAAACTCAAAAACTCGGAAAATTTAAAAAACATTACTGCTGTGTGGAGTACATGAGATCGCTGCGGTTCTTTTTTACCGTCCATTTGTTATAAAAAAGCTATTAGAGGGACCGACATTTCTCGATCGGTTATTTCATTTTTTCCCTCTCAATCATCATCGAAATATGAGATTTTTTCGGGTTTAGAGTCCAAGAGTGTTTTAGTTTTACTTTGATATATTTTAGGCGGACATATTATCTTGTAAAACTGTAATCACAATTTCTCATAGGGTGTAAAACAAGAATTTTAATGTCAGCGCTTTCTCGTAATGCCATCAGATACGTAAATGTGGAAAGCATTGCAGTTCTACTAATTAGGGCCCTTGTAAAATCAGTGCTTGACTCAAGGAGTAATTTCGTCGCCCACTTCATTATCCAGCCTCTTAAAAATGAAAAACAAATTTTGAATCGCGAAGTAAAATTGAGGTACATGACTGAACGTTTAAAATTGATAGTAGATCAAGTACTATCAACTACAGCCGTATTTCAGTCAATGACATTGTTTCATATGTTTCATCAATTCATCTTAAATTTGAATAGTATAGCATGATCCAGTTTTTATAATACATTATTTATTCTGTTTGTTATTAAGATGATTTGCTCGTTCTACAAAATATTCATGAATATGATGATTCTTTATTAATAATTTGTACCTAGGTAAGGTAGACTTTTATTAATCCAATTTTATTTAATAAAGGTACTATTTTACAATAAAAAGAGAAGAAATATTTTAGAATTTTGATGTACAGAACCAAACCAATCATTGAAAACTTGTCGAGAAACACTCATAACTCGTCAAATATTGAATAGTATCAAGGTTTTCCGGGACAGCCATTCTGGATTTGAGGTCAAAATTTCGAAATTCAAAATTGGGGTCGCCAGCATGGCGTCAATTTTACATCTTTCAATAATTTGCGTTTCAGTTCTTTCTTTCGCCATCCCGCTCACGCTCTCGTTGAACCTAATTCTAATAGTCATACTGAAAAATCTTTAGCAAAGAGACAATAAACCATGATTATAAAGTTTGCATACGAGATGTCACGAATTCTGAAATTAAAAATGTCACGGGTTACGAATGAATAATTATGTGCAAATCAAAGCCAAGATGAATTCTAAGAAAGTTAGACGTCTGCTGTTTGGGCAATAAAATTTTATTAACAAAAGAACAGGCAGAAAAACATGGGATTGAAAAATTCATGACAATCGTGTCAACGAAAAATATGTTTGAAATGCATGCCACATGGGCGACGTTTTGAAATTTGAATCGTGGAGTTTAAGTTTGGCATCAGCGACCTCGAAAGTCTCTGGTATTAGATTTTGTAGTGGATCGTAATTTTCTTTTTCAAATGGCCTCTCACATTGACGTCATCATCTCGATTTTCGAAATCTGGGATTCGGATTTGCAGGTCTCGAAAACCGCCAAATAAATTTTGGATGCAAATACGTTTATCGGGTTAAATAATATGAATTATGCGTTCAAATTTTTCCGTTTGATTCCAATTGAAATACTAAGGCCCGCTTCATGTGTACATTTTAATATTCTGAATTCAAAGGTTGCAATCAAATTGGAGGAAAAAGCATAAAAATTCATTCTTTGATTTGTTTCTGTGGAAAATTGAAATCTATAAATTTGTGGTGATATTTTGAATCGTAAAAAAGTAATTTAAGGAAGTCCTACGAATTAGTGACAACATACATAGCAAAGACTACGTATGTTGTGTTTGAGCTTTAAAAAAGGAGTAGAGCATCGAAATTGAAGGAGTTAGAGCCATTTTAGAGAAGTACTACAAGTCCAGTTCAGAATGGATGGAAAATTTTAATGGAGTTCATAAACTAAAGTGGATCAAACATATATTTATGACGTCACCAATACTTATAAATATGTGTTAACTGCGACCGCGAAGAAAGTTAGTACACTTCTTCTCAGAAAGTACTTCAAGTTTACTTTCTCTCTTTTGTTTATATTCGATTTCATTCATTTGAAAATTCCTCTTATACGATAATAATTCCAACCTAACGTTTTCTTATTTCGTAAGTTCAAAAAGTTCTGCCATGCATATATATAATTTGTATTATGGTCGTTCATGGAATTGTACGTTATAAAATATAATTGAATACGGAATTAAATACGGAAATGTGTCCAATCCACTAATGTTACTTCTGACAATTATAATTTACAGTCATTTTCAAACCTACCATGCACGCAAACTTAAAAAGTAAAAAATGTTGAATCATTTCTAATTGGGAAAAATGCTTTAAACGATATACGCAAATAAATGAAACATATTGAATCGCGTTAGAATATCATTTTCTCACGTAATTAACACATCTTTGTAACCAATATAATCCGAATCAGGTCCATGGGATACGTGGATCTCGACAATAACTAAATTTCAATAATCCTATTTTTCAAAGTATTATCAAACTATACTAAGGTTATGTATATCGATTTTATCTGAACCTCGGCAATAAAGCTTGTGAAAAAAATTGTCATTTTTAAAAAAGAATGTCACCCCATCTCCATTAAAAAGGTCGATCCAGGAAAGTCCCTGCCAATTTCTGACCTTCATATGGGCCACCCTAAGCCAAGTGATCGAGTCATTTGGCAACATGGAACAAATTTGGCAGAACTTTAAAGTACCGTAGCATCCGGAAACAAATCGTAATAAAAAGGATTGTTTTATCCGCAAGAATCCGAATACGTTATCTGCAAGCTGTTCGACGCACAACCCTAAAACATTCGTTACAATTGAAAAATAATAATTGAATTGGAAGGAAGTGCAAAAGTCTCACAACGAGGCAGATCAGGACAAACTACTGAATCGATGAATATTTTCAAAATTTTTCATAATTTTAACGTAGCCCCACTTCGTAATAATATCCAGATCTTATGGAGATGAAAAAAACGTGGAAAACGACTGCCGAACTCAATTGGAAATATCCGGAAAAGATCATTGTTGGAAGCGATTCGTCAGAATCTCCTAATCCAAAAGGACTTAATTGAATCGAAATAAAGTGTCAAATTATCACGACGAGCTAGACCAGAGGCCCGATTCTCGAGTTCATGCGGATTTTTCTCGCATATGAATAGATTCGCATGAAACATTTTGCATTATTGCGAAGTCACGTAATTGGTCAACATTTGAAAGTCTAATGCGAAACCGTGAATTTCGTGCGGGAAATTGACAGTATCGTGCACGACTTTCAAATGATGACCAATGGCGCGACTTCGCAACAATGCAACATTTCCCATGCGAATGTATTTGTATGCGAAAAAGATTCGAGTTCACTCGAGAATTA